CCTGCAGTTAGTCTAGGGAGCAAGGCATGGACAGTAAAGGCAGTCCAGGTCACAAAATTTCTGGGCCTGATTCAAGGCGAGAGACAAAATGTCAGCAACTCTGTTGCCAGCCCAGCTCTGACGCGCAACTCGTAGCTGTATTACTCATTCTATGTTTGACTGTACGGTGAGTACATTTCTTTTCTTTAAAAAAATTCAAAAGTCTTAATATTTTCATTAGGCTTGTGGATGACTAATAATCTCACTGCATTTATTTTAATCAGTCTTCTAAATCACTGATGTACACTGGTTCTTTTCATGTTGCTTTTTGGGGAGGTATTACAATTTTTCATTACATGTACTATATGATACATCATTTTCTGACTATAACACAATCTCATTTTTCAATTTTAATAAAATAGTTTTACTGTTTCATAACTTTGAAGAAAAATACAGGCAGCCCTGTAAAACAGAGCAATTTCATTTTTTTTAACTGCAAGTTATTTTATAGCTTCCACTTGGTAATTATAGAGATTTATATCCCTCTTCTCATCCCTCACAGAACTCAGAGCTGATGTGTCCAGTTGACTTAGAGACTGACTTAGAGGTCTCTGCATTCATTATCTTTGATAATAAGCTGTTATATCAGATTAATGATTTAAGGCTAGTATATGTTTGAGAGTGGGAGAAGGAGGTTTAAAACTAATTTATAGGAATATAATCCACTGGTCATTTTCACATTTCATCAAAAAATATTTTAGAGGGTGTCTCAATAGTAATTGATCACATTGAAGTGACAAACTGTGCTATTGTTGGTTTACTAGTAATAGAAGGAAGTCATTCATCTCCTTTTAGGGCCAGACTTTCAGTATAACCTGATAATTTATCATTTATCAAGGAATTAACATATTCTAAATTATAAAGAAACACACATACCAGTATATCATGGGTACAGTTGATATTGCAAGTCAAATAGTAATGTCATCCACCTCAGTGTGCTATACAGTTCTCAAGTTTACATAAGAAAAACAAATCTATAGCTATCCTTGTTACCCTGTACAGCATCTCACAATATTTAAATATAAATATAATTGTAACTCCTTTAGAGTTAGAGCGATTGGGTTAAAAAATAACTATCCCATAGTATATAGATAACATATAAAAGTACATTTTAAAAAGTTATGCATAATAAGAATTTTTAAAAATCTGGGTGATTCAAAGTTTTTTGTTTTGTTTTTTGTTTTTATTTAGATTAGGAAATATAGTTTAGGCCTGGCCTGGTGGCTCAGCCTGTAATCCCAGCACTTTGGGAGGCCGAGGCAAGTAGATTGCCTGAGCCCACGGGTTTGAGACCAGCCCAGGCAATTTGGCGAGACCTCATCTCTACAATAAAAAAATAAAATAAAATTAGCCAGGTGTGATAGCTCGCGCCTGTAGTTCTGGTTGTTTGGAAGGCTGAGGTGGATGGATTGCCAGAGCCCACCAGGTCAAATCTGTGATGGCTGTGAGCATGCCACTGCGCTCCAGCCTGGGCAACAGAGTGAGACTCCAACTCAAAAATATCTACATATCTATATATCTATATCTATATCTATATCTGTCTCTATATATAGTTTATTTAGAAGGTAAATTGGAGCAAGAGAAAAGAGGGGATTCACTTCCCAAGGGAGGGGAGGGGCCATTGCTTTGTCTTTTAAATCAATAAGATACATCTGAAACAAATGTGCCTAAACTGCCTAAGGCAACTTTAGTGAAATAATTGTTTAATTCTGTTGTCAGATTTTATTTGTAGAATTTTATATCAACAGTTTAGCTAACTATTTGCATGATCTAATTATTAATAACTTAAATTAATATCCTTGTGCTTTCCCTGCTAGTTTTCTACAGTACATAGTTATCAATTTATTTATTTTCCACTTTTTGAGAATATCTTCAGAAAATAAACTCTTGAAATGAACTTATTTTTAATCAATGATGCATTTACTATATACTTATGGATAACATTTCATTTATAACAAAATATTTTAAAGCCCTTTTCCTAGTCTTAATTAATATAAAGCTAGCATGCATAATAATAAAATTACAATAATAACATTAGCAGTATAAATTTTAATTTCCCATTAAGTTCATTTAAAAATATTTATATTGATTAAAATTGTCCCATTGGATTCACAAACACTTCTGTGTTCTTACATTCAATTCAAGTACAAATCTACTTTTATGCTGAAGGCACTGTGCTTTACTGAAACCCTCTTTCCTCCTGATATTTTGGGATTCTTCTCCTCTAATGTTTGGGGAATAAAAACAGTGTAAAAAAGGCTCACAACATAAGAGAGAATCAGTAAACAACAATATGCATTAAGGCAGATGTAAGAGAGGCAACTTTTTAAAATTGGAGCAGTTTACTTTTAAGTGTTTGTGCTTCAGTTTTTCACAAGAAAAAGTAAATAAGAAATACACTTGAGACACAAAAACAACCCCCCAAAACAAAAAAACCCAGAAGTCAATAGACAATGAGCATACCATTTAGACCACAGTTAAGTTACTATTTTCTCTCTGAGTATTCCACTACCAATTGCTTTTATCCACAATTCACATCTAAATTTTCAGGGCTAAATATGTTGATAATCTTGCTTTTCCACTCATGCTCCATTAGCAGGAGCAAACTCCACTGCATCAATGTCTAAGCTGTTTTAAAACAAGAAGAGGGTATGGGACTTTTGTACCCAAGAACATGTCATTCTGATTTTATTATTGTCATGCCTGGTACACTCTTCCCACAATGTCTCCTTAACATCTACTTCCTCACAAGTCTAAATCTCAGCAATATGTGAAATTGGTGACTAAGTCATGCATACTCCTACCGTTCGCATTTTTCTATAATATGTGGAGCTAGGCCGTTTTGTTCTCCATTCATACTAAATAAGTTTGCCTCAGAGGACTAAATACAGCCTGACATACTGAATTTGCATCCCTGCTCTTACCGTCTGTATGTCTGTCATCATATTCCTTTATTTATGTCAATCGTGTTCTGTATATGAGGAGATAAATGGGGAGAAATTACAAGTTTTCTTTCTCATTGACCCAGGAACTAGAAACTATGGATATTTCATCTTTTCTTGTATAGTGAACCAGAGCCCTTGCTTTCCTCATAATCTTCATCAACTATTGCCAAGAACATTGCCAATATATGCATATTCTTTGAGTTGTGAAGATCTGTGCTCAAACAGATCATCTCTCCTGCATTTTCAGTTCCTTTGGCTACCCCTGCTCTTACCCCTAAGCAGATACACACGCTGTCTACTATCTGACAAAGGGGTACCTTTTATTTAACCCTAAGACTACAATCTTTCGTCCTATTCGTCTTCACAGCCAAACTGCCTGAAGGCTCTACATTTTGTTTCTATTTCTTCACATCAAATTCACTCTTGAACCCACAGTAATCCAGGACCATCCAATTTTAGCTCTGAAAGTTTCATGACTCAGGAAAACCCTCAGTTCTAGGTAAATCAGAAGAGTTAGTGGTCACCCTAAACTCCTCCTCTTCCATAATCTCTGCCTCCAACTACTCTCCAAATTCTGGCAGTTAAACTTCCTACCTTTTATCTATTCTCTCCTTTTCATTCTTACAACCTCCTAGATCAAATTCTCATACAATCAGCGCCAGTTGTACTAGATTCCTCATGAGACTGACTTCCTTTCTTTACTATCAAGGTGATCTTCCTAAAAGGCAAATCTGATCATGGTGTCCTGTTTGCTTAACAATCTCTAATGGATTCCCTCTGAAATAATTTAGAACAAATAGTTCATGCTCATATCCTTATCTATCTGCACACTCTTATCTGTCACCTGTCTCTTCTTCCTTAAACTCTATCCATATATAGAGATATGAATATGCCATTGCAGTTTCACACCTCCATGGTTTTGTGTATGCATCACCTTTCCCAGATTCCAACCCTCTCCTGGCTACCCGTATATTTCACTCACCCTCCAAACCTCAGCTCAAGCAGAGCCTTTCTTAGAAGCTGTCTATGCTCTTCCAGTAGATGCAGGTTTACTCTCTTGCTTTCCCCGTATGTATTAAGGTGAACTCCCCCAAACACCAGAACTTATTTATTAAAAAGTGTGTAGTTATTCTTATATGTTTAAACTTCAGTCACCTTCAAAGCATCCTCTGATGCAATACATCTACTGAGATGCTTTTTTCATTGCTCAAAACAGTTTTTACACCATCAATGTTTACACCTTTTAAAAGTGCTTCTGCTGTCTTTTCTTTCACCTTTTCCACATGGCAAAACCTTTTACTTTGAGGATTTTTTTCATTGATGCAACAACCACAGCAACAAACTCGCTTAGGGGAGGACACAAGATCAGGTTAATAGTGAGGGTGGAGCACAGAAGTCACGCGGTTTGGGGGCAAAAACCTCTGAACACTCAGCACAATGTGGGGAGGTGTGGTCATAAATCACCCGTCATGAAACGGGCAAATATGTTGAAAGAATCTCCAAAAAAATTCACTTAAGTCAAATGCAGCCTCTCACATCCTCAATAGCTAGTATACTGATGCCAGTGGATTCCTAGAACACTTACCTAGCTGGAGAAGCCTACACTAAAAGAGGGTTCACTCTCCAAAAGATATTTCTTTTGGGAGGGTGGTCCCCCTTGCATATCGTCTTCCATTTTAACACATCTTTCATTTCATTAAAACAATCTCTTGTTTACTTCTCCTTACCAGACGACAAACTTCTTAAAGAGAGTCAAAATGTGTTCCCCTTTTGTTTCCCACGCACCAGCGGAGATCATGTTTAATGAGGCTATTATATTATTTTTATGTGTTTTCATTTAGGAGGCAGGTTAGACAGGAGTGCATAGCAAGGATCTCATAATTAGGAACTTACTACCATCATTTTACCCTGCATGCCCTTGCACAATCACTTTTTAGGCTGTACCCATTATGTGAAGAGTGATCAAGAGTAATTAGACTTATCAAAACCTGGGGAAAGGGTAGGTGGCGTGCTTACCGTTCTTGCATCCCATATAGACAGAGACTTGTCTGCAGAACCTGTGAGAAGAATATTGGAGCAAGGAAAAAACTCAATGCTGTTCACAGAATCTGTGTGTCCGTACAAAGTACATCTGCATCTTTCACTGTGTAAGAGAGAAATCAAGAATTAAAGTTTTAGGAGTTAATAGCCAAATACTATCTATACAATGCTCATAAAGATAATTTAAGGATCTGAGGCATGAAGTAATTTTATTAGTGGCAGAAAATTCACAAGAATGACATTTTAAAAGGAAAAATCTAAAACCGTCTTATATTCTAAGCACTTTATAGAATTGGTAGCATAAAATGTGCTAAATTTATAGAATCACTTGGTCAAGTCATCTTTATACTATCTCATTTATTGTTTGTCAGGAAATAACTGCATAAATAATTGTCCCCATTTAATGACGGAATAGGTTAACAAAATAAAAGATCACACTAATTCATAAGACCAAATCAACCTTCTTAGGTCATTTAAAAAACTTTCTCAGTCTTGGTTGTATTTTGGAATCACCTGAGAAGCTTTTACAACCTACTAATACCCACACGGAAGCAGAGAGTAGGACAGTGGTTACTAGACTGGGGGCAAAAGGGAAGAAGGTAGGGTGGGAGAGGTTGGTCAATGGGCTCAAAGTGACAATTAGATAGGAGGAATAAATTCGGGTGTTCTACTGCACAGTAGGGTGACTATGGTTAACAGTAAAAGAGATGGAAAAGAGGCTTTTGAAGGCTCTCACCACAAAGAAATGATAAGTGCTGAGAATCTAAGCCAGTGGTTTTCAAAGTATTTTACCCAGACTAGCAGTATCGCCATCACTTGGAAATGTGTCTGAAATGCAAATTCTTGGGACTCATCCCAAACCTATTAAGTAAGAAGCTCTGGAGTGGAGCCTGACAATCTGTGTTTTAGCAAGTTTTCCAAGTGATTCTAATACATGCTGAAATTTGAGGACCACTGACCTAAACTATTGAAAATGACTGAGCAGGAAAGACAACTGCAGCTGTGCCTTTTGCCAATGTGTAAAAGGGCTGTTTCTTAGGGAAACAGGGTCTACATAGAGCGGTATTACTCATAATGTGGAGTGACTGATTACTTCGAATAACTTTATTTATAAATCTATTTTAAAATAGAGAAAGAATAGAAGCAGAATAACTAAGAAGGACTGAGATCAGAGGAGCCAATATAAGTACATTCCTAATTTGATAATCAGTTAGTTAATCTCTGATTAATTGATTCCTCTCTGGCTTGTTCCATGCTGTATGCAATAGTCTAATGTAAGTGGGCAAAACTCTGCAATAGTAGCCAGGAGACTAAATTCCAGTCCTGACTTTGGCAAGAACTAGCAGGGTAACCATAGATGCATCATTTAATCTCATGGGCAGTAGATTTCCTTCTTGTGTGAATGAAATTATTTTACTTGATGCACTTAGAGCCAATCCAGCTCCTACAATTCTTCGACAGATTCTTCGACTGAGGCTAACAATGTAAAGTGAAAGGGGAGAAGTCAATTTTAGCAAGAAGATGTTGAGAGCTATTAAGAGGCCAAGAGATATAAAGATTTTGGTGTATATGAATATTTGTGTAAGTTACTCAAAATAACACGTCCCTTTAAATATCAAGGCTAAGTATTGGAATAGTTAATATCTGGAGCAAGAGCATAAAATCAATACATTCATTAATTTGGAATATCTTGGATTAATGTATTTACCTTGCTATTTCTGAGATGGACTGATCATATTTTGATCACTAAAGTTGATGATGTGTCAAAGTACATTAGGAGGATCAACAAACCATTAGGCCCGGGACTAATTGCTTATTATCGTAACTAAGATTTTATTGGAACATACCAATTTGTCTACATTGTCTATTGCCACTTTCCCATTACAGTAGCAGTGTTGCATAGTTACAAAAGAGACCACACAGTCCACCAACATAAAATATTTAAGGCATAGCCCTTTAAGGAAATGTTTGGGAGGTTGGGAAGATGGCAGCCAAGCCGTTCAGACTATGCAAGTCCCATGTGAGTGAGTGAGTGAGTGTATGGAAAATTTTGTGTACGGGCTGGTGAGCGAGTGAGCATGTGACTGGCTGACTGAGTGAGGGCTAGGGTGCTAGCAGGCAGGGCTCTCCTGGTGCAGCACCTGGTGCCACAGCTGCTGGGCTTGGACCCTAGCGATTCCCGGGATGCAGAAACTGAGCGCCATTTTCTTTTTTTTTTAATCAGCAAAACCCTTCCTGGGAAGAAAATACTGGGAGAGACTGTCTAAGTAGGGACTTGTGAGTAAGTGGCCAAGTTCCTGGTGCAACAGCTGGTGCTGCAGCTACTCTGCTTGGTCCCTGGCTCTTCCCAGGTTGCAGAAGCCAAGCCCCATTTTTTTTTAAATGGACAAAAATATTCCTGTGAAGAAGCGGCGGGGAGAAGCCATCATCCCAGGCTCTGCATCTTTGCAGCAGGAGAGACTGCCAGCTCCAGACTTTGCCTCACCACTCAGTGCCTGGCTGGGCACTGGCAGCAGGGGCTGTGAAGGGAGTCCAGAGGCAAAGTCCCATAGAAGAATGCTAGAGTCCAGCTCCAGCAGGTTCAGGGTTTCCCAAAGAATGAGCGGCAGCAAAAGAATGGACACAGACCCAGTGCTTGTGTGGGACTGCTCACTTTTTTTTTTTTTTTGAGTTGGAGTCTCACTCTATGGTCCAGACTGGAGTGCAGTGGCCGCTTACGGCCACCGCAGCCTCGCCTGCTGCGCTCCTGCGATCCTTCCACCTCAGCCTTCCGAGTAGCCGGAATTACAGGCATGCGCTACCATGCCCGACTGATTTTTTTTTGATTTATTGTAGAGATGAGGTCTCGCTGCCCAGGCGGGTCTCGAACCCGCGGGCTCAGGCAATCCCCTCACCTCAGCCTCCCAAAGGCACGAGATTACAGGCTGAGCCACCGAGCCCAGCTGGGACTGCTCACTTTTATTGACTATACCACATATATATTTTTTTGTTGCATAAGCTTTTGGGTGACGCACACATAGAAATTTTACATTTTTCCAAAACATCATCCAAGTTCTAAGGTCAAGTTAGGGACATTTAGTTTGTGCCCTTCCGGGTATTCTTCTTAACTTAAAATTAAACATAGCTTTCCATGAGAGCATAAAGCAAAGGTAAAAACAAAACCTTATTGTACTATGGTTACTTATAAACTTTTAAACCTAGTTATATATATCTTTATATTTGGGCCAAAGTCATTCTCCGATATATCTGCGCCTAAATCATTTTCCAGAACACTGACATTTCTTAGGGTCCTGCCAGTAAAGCTGGCACAACAATTTACAATTGTTAGGCCACTGGCAGCAACCATATCTCTCTGACTCGCCTCCAATCTGTGGGAACAAATAATTCTAGTTTTCCTTTATGGAACACATGATATTTAAAGTTATTATTTACTACTCCCTGGCAGGGGAAGTGGCCTCCTATTCTTGCATTAGCAGGCCGGCCTCCAGGACTCCTGTAATGCCATTTGGAGCAATATTGTATCATTTTATTTGGGGTCCCTTACGGGGAGTATGTTTCAGTTCGGGAAAGTTGCACGGTGGCAGCACTGGGACTTCTGTGATTTTTGGTAATGAGTAACTTATTATTCTCTACGTCCCTTTCTCCTGGAATCTTTTTTCTGTGGTTGATTAGTAGGCTGTGGTTTCCTAGCCTCTAGAATTCCCACCGGCAACATAACTAAGCAGAGCAGGAGAAGCAGAGCCGTCGCCTTCCCAGACTTGCCATTCAGTCTGGGGTCATCAGTCTCCTTGACCATGTCAGAAGGCAGACCTCTACGGGCGGCTCCCAACAGAAGACAAGAGAGGCACTCCACCACCATCTTGAAGGTGCTCCCACTTGCTCACCATGGAGCAACAGATTCAATCTCTGTAACTGGTGGATCAACTACACAGGGATTGATTGTGACCCAGAAGGAATATCCTGAAAGCACAAACTTCAGAGGGAACTAACAAGTGCTGAGTTCCAGGCACCAAACACCCTACCCTGATCCAGCCACAAGACAAAGGGCGTGGCCAGAAAAGGACAAGTAAGGACTCCAAAGAGATCAGTGGTGAGTCTGGTGCTGACCCAAACCCCCTCTTCCCCAGCAATGCTTTGAACATCAGACACACATACCTGGTCCACGACTGAGAGAGACAAACCCAGGCAAAGCCTGGACGTGAGTCGCAATAGGAAAACTCCATTCCAGAATATGCCTGGCTGAGGCACCCCCCACAAGTACATACCTGGGGAAGAGACAATCCCATACCTCCCCACCAGAGATCTCCCTGACCATACAAGAGTCGGAGTGGAGGACTACAGTCTCACCCACCTCCAGTGTCCCACCTCCTTCCCTGCTCTAGACAGAGGTGGTTCTGCAGGAGAGACCTTACTAGAGGAACAATTACAGAGCCTGCCACAAGAGGGCAGGGTTTTTTTTAATTTTTAATTTTTTTAAATTTTTTGACTGTTTATTAATTCATCTATTTTAAAAATATTTTTCCTTTGTGCATGAATGTGTATGTGAGGGTTTGCTCTGCATCCTCCCCCAATTTTTTTTCTTTTTGTTTCTTTCTTTTTTTATTTGTCATATTCTGTTTATATGTGTATGTGAGTGATTGAGTGTTTATCTTTCAATTTTGCTGTTGTCCTTGTTAGTTTGCTTTTGCTCTTTTGTTCTTCTGGGTTTTTTTATTTTCACTTTTTACAGTTTAAGGTGAGTGTCAATATATGTGTGAGGGTCCGATCTAAATTCTTTTTTTTTTCTTCTGATCTTTGTTTTTCTTCTCTATTCACTTTGTGCTAGGGGTGTGTGTGTGTGTGTGTGTGTGTGTGTGTGTGTGTGTATGTGTGTGTGTGTGTGTGTGTTTGTGTTTGTGTTTAGTTTTCTTGTTTTTTTTTTATTGTGGTTTTCTTTTTGTTTCACTTTGTTGCTATTCCAGTTTGTTTTGGGGTGTGTGTGTATGTCTGTGTGTGTGTGTGTGTGTGTGTGTGTGTTCAATTGTTTTTTGCATTGGTTTGCTTTGCATTGTCATATACAGTGGTGGTGGGGGGTGGGTCTCACAGAACACATACCACAATAAG